TTGATGCTACCAACGCCTTCCCTGAATCACTAAGTTCATTCTACCAATCATTACAACAGTGAAAAATTAAGTAAGCGTCATAATATCCCAATCATCGTCCGGTTCAATCTCCGGTTTCCGCCTCTGGTTGCCCGATGAGCGTTCCAAAACCTCCTGCAACAACGTCTTCTCCTAGTCGATGTAGCGTCTCCAGCCATTCGCAACAAGACATTTCTTCCCTTTGTCGTCAACTCCCATGACAAAGCGCTCCCACCGAGCGTCTTGCCCAGCGCCAAGAACTAGTACCGTCTGGTCATCCAGCCAACCAATCAATCCTTTCGTAGGCCTGCCGCCGGGTACGCCGGGAATGCCCGCACTCAAGGTAGCAGATTTGCCGTGCGGGCCCCAAGAGGTAGGCTCATCTCCCATTTCAAACTTGGCCGTGGCAGTGGGATATGTGTCGGAGAATTGCCGGGGTAGAAGCGGAATCTTGGACAGGATGCCGTACTTGTGCTGCGCTGGATCGGCTTGCGCCGCGGCAGTTGCTGTTTTGAGATCGTAGATGTGCAGTGTAGATTTGTCCGAGGTCACAGCGAGCGTCGAGCCGTCCGGAGAGAATGCAAGAGAAAACACGGCAGCAGGATCGACGCCGCGGCGAAGCTCCGCTAGTTTGGTGCAGGATGGGAATGACCAGAGACGAATGATGGTGCCCTGCTCACTGGCAGTTGCTATGAGATCGCAACTTCTGCTTATGCCGATCGCGCGTAGTGGACTTTCGTGGGCGGGGATGATGCTGACGTTGCCCGTGTTCAGATCGTATATCTTGACTTGTCCAGCGGCTCTACCGGGGAACGCGACAATATTCGACCCTAGCTCCAACAGCCCAAACGGATTGTTGACCGTTTCATACTCAGCCGTTTTGACCGGAGGCACTTTCATCTTATATATGCACACCGAATTCAGCAGCGCAACAACCATGTGCGTCTGCGATAGGCGCACACGCTGAATGGGTGTCTTGAACTCGACCGACGTGGTAAAACGCTCTGTTTTGTCGTTCCAGATTTGAACCTCGTAGAATATGTCAGTTTTGTCGACCCAAATCCAGTCGGAGTCCTCGGGACGCACCTTGTTCTGGGGATACTTGGGTTGCTTCCCTCCTCCGACCAGGGCAATGTAGCTCTTGTTGCCGAGCATCTCTGCGCAGCCGATGCCGCCACCAACCTCTGCGGGAATGTCAGCACATGAACATATGTGCAAGCACGTCGAAAGTACCTCTGGCTATCCTTTCCTCACATGTTGTTGACGAGAAGACTGCAACCGTCAGTAGGTGTTGGCAAACTTGGACGAGGGCGTCGTCATACCGCGGAATCCCGTCTCCAGAGCGACTGAAAAGTGAGAGCAGTCAGCGTTAAACGAGGCCGAAAGAACGAACGGGCCTGTGTCCGAGTCGAGGATAGGTCTGGTATTCATGGTCCGTCGTCGGTATAGAGTAATTCGGCTATGCGTTGTTTCAAACACAAGGTGGGGTGGGCGGGCGGCGTCTTCTTGGATGCGGGAGTCGATGTTTTGATCAGCGCAGGGACTGCAAGTGCGAGGAGCTCGGTGGCATGCTAGGCCATATTGTTGCCAGCCGCGACTGAGGCGGCACACGTATGAACAGCGTAGAGTGGGTAGGCGACGACGACATCGAGGGTCCAGGGCTCCAAGGTCACAGCTCACCTTGTCATCTGCATCCACCTAATAAGCCTGGCTTTCCCCGTAATGCGGGAGCTAGCCGGTTCTGGCAAGCGTGACTGGTGGGACGCAGGACCTGTGTACGGAATGCTCTTTGGGCCCAATACATACTGCTGTACGGCTAGGAGAGCCAAAGAATTCACATATCAGATATCATGGAATTGTTTCATCACGCCATTGTAGCGTGCCATGACTTGCGGGTCCCCGTCAAAAGCAAGTACACAACATGTTCGTTAAATGTCGGGAATCACCACGCGTCGAGGCCGATGGGGCATCCTTATCGGCAACCGGCAAAGTGCACAACGAAAGTGAGAGATGGGTGTTGAGACAAGTATGAAAATAGCAGTACTATTTCTCACCCAATATGGCCGTTTCTCAGCATTTTTCAGCATACACGACAAGTGATGGCCTTCTCGTGTTGCACATCGTTCCCAAAGTAGTCGGGCCAGGTGGTTGCGCCAAGAAGGAGACACCGACCAGGGTGTTTCCCGCTAGCGAGCCCCTTTGCATCGCGCAGGGAGTAGCTGCCAATGTCCCCAAATTTCCACGACGACACCGCTCCAACACAACAGACAGTCTTCATCTTCTGTCTCTCCGTACTCTCTCACCCGCAATCCCACGCCCTCTTCCGGCAGTCTCCATTGTGTGTACACGACTCCATCCAAGACACACCACATCAACCCTTCACAGCCCATCATGTCTTCGGTACGCCGCTCCTCCCCACGACACCCCGTCTGCGCCCATCGGGCACACGCCGCTACCCTGCCCTCTACATATGACCCTGCCATCAATTCCAGTCACTAACAATGCATCAGGCGCTTAACAAGACGCGCAGAAAGAAGAATGTCAAGAAGGGAATCCAGTTCTGCCTGATGGTTTGCGGTGCCTCAGGTACTGGCCGGACAACCTTCGTCAACACGCTTTGCGGCAAGCAGGTGCTTGGACACAAGGAGGTGGATGACCCTACAACTGCCCACGTTGAGGAGGGCGTCAAGATCAAGCCCATCACTGTCGGTAAGTTTGTTTATTGGCGGTGGACACGGCCATCACGCCATGAGGCAGCTACTAACAATGGCCAGAACTCGATGAGGAAGGTACCCGCATCTCGCTCACAATTGTCGACACGCCCGGATTTGGAGACCAGATTGACAACGAGGCCAGGTAAGGACCTTGCAGCAACCATGACGACACCAACTTACCTGTATGCAGTTTCTCAGAGATCGTCGGATACCTTGAGCGACAGTACGATGGCATTCTTGCCGAAGAGTCGCGTATCAAGCGTAACCCACGCTTCCGTGACGACCGTGTACACGTACTGCTGTACTTCATCACGCCTACTGGCCATGGGTATGTGCTCCTGATATGAGTCAGGGTCCTACTAACACGAACCCCTAGTCTGCGCGAACTCGACATTGAGCTCATGAAGCGCCTTTCCCCCCGCTGCAACGTCATTCCCGTGATCGGTAAGGCCGACTCACTCACACCCGCTGAGCTCGCCGAGTCGAAAAAGCTCGTCATGGAGGACATTGAGCACTACCGCATCCCTGTATACAACTTCCCTTACGATGTTGAAGAAGACGACGAGGACACGGTTGAGGAGAACGCCGAGCTCCGTGGCTTGATGCCCTTTGCTATTGTTGGATCCGAGGACATTGTCGAGGTGAACGGTCGACGGGTGCGAGCACGACAGTACCCCTGGGGTATCGTAGAGGTCGACAACCCCCGCCACTCGGACTTCCTTGCCGTGCGAAGCGCGCTTCTGCACAGCCATCTTGCTGACCTCAAGGAAATCACGCACGACTTCTTGTACGAGAACTACCGTACCGAGAAGCTTAGCAAGAGTGTTGAGGGTGGTGCTGCTTCGTAAGTTTTTGAGACATGACGTGATGTGAAGTAGAATGCTAACGGAATATAGGAACGATTCGTCGATGAACCCCGAGGACCTTGCCAGCCAGTCAGTGCGTCTGAAGGAGGAGCAACTGCGCCGTGAAGAAGAGAAGCTGCGCGAGATTGAAGTCAAGGTACAACGCGAAATCAACGAGAAGCGACAGGAGCTCCTGGCACGCGAGAGCCAACTGAAGGAGATTGAGGCGCGCATGCACCGGGAACAGAGTGGTATGGCGCATGACGACGCGGACGATGCTTAAGCGTGTCCGAGTGGCATGCGTTACGCCCGGCTCCGCCTTTGCATTGGCACTGATGTTGGGCATCAGCGTTCAGCGCGCTTGGACAGGCAAAAAGGAAGAGCCAGAGACGGACCACAAGAGACGGTTTGACTGACCCAGCATCGGTGGCGTTTTGTGCAAATGGAGGAGGGATTTTCTTGGGGATGCGCCGACAAGTGAGCAAGGACGGGGTCGAAATGTCGGACTTCACTTCTTCTTTTAGTCTGGGGGCCTTTGATTTATTTAACGGACAGTGTTTTTGCCATTGGATGTGGTCTGCGGCTACACGGTCCCCAAACATGACACCGCTTCTCGTATGTTTACTTAGCCTTTTTCGATACTTATTCCCCCCGCCTTTTGGTTCCTTCACGTAAGGAGGTAGTAATTCACATTCTAATATCACTCTGATCGCTGATGGTTTTTTTTGCGTGTGTGTGTGTATTGAGTCCTGTGGCTGGGTATGTGTGTGTGTATACGTGTACATATGCAAGCTCTTTTGCTTTTTGGATAGTTGCATGGTCGCAGTCAAGTCAGTCATGTCAGCAGGCAGATAGATGGGGGGAGAGTCGTGTGTTGTATGTAAGTTATGTGGACAAGAGAATTGTCTGGCGAATAAGAGGCATTTGTAGCTCGGTGCATGAGCCTAATGCAGTTGCATGTTCTGGACACTCGGTGTTTTCCCAATCACTCTCTACCTTGTGCACGCGAGGGAAAATGGTGCCATGTTTTTCACGGCATAACAAGTAGCTCCTCACCGCCCTAGACCACCTTTGTCCACCTTTGTCCTAAACTGGTATGTACACTCGTCCTTGTATACGGCGAGTACCGTAACGCCGTCGGCAAGCTTCGGGATGCGTTTGTTAATTAAGATGTGGATCTTTTTGGCATCACGTTTGTCCGTATGCGTACTCGAGCGGCACCGCGCGGATAAATTCTTCGGCATCTAAAGCTGCATATACGGGTCGGGGACTAAGCTGGGTTGTTCGTTGTGAGACCTCGGTCCTTGATTGTGAAAGACGGCACACACATACATGCCAAGCACAGTGCCATCTGTACACCCATACATAGACTTACATGACTTTTTTTTGCTTTTGCACAGCCTGGCGTAGGCAGAGGCGTCCGTCATAGTAACGCATTATGCGCGCTTTTAAAAAAAAACCCCCAGTTGCCACCAAGGTCTCCGAGGAGAATGGCTATGTACCTTGGATTGCGCTGGCTCGGCTTGAACCTTGGACACAAGATGTCCATAGTAATAGAGAGGAAATGTAGACTACACCCCGCTCCTCCATGTGGCGACTGTTGACATGTCGACAGGGGCTTTCTCAGCCACCATGCGACCAAGAAGAGGGGGTATGGTAGGCTGAGTACATGGTTGAAATTGTAGTCCGTCAAGACCATTGCTACCTGATCGAGAGGCTGCCGGGGCATCGCGATGACGAGCAAGACACGAAGGCAGTGTGCTGCAGTCAGCTATACGCCACGCTACCCAGCTTGCTGCTCAACACAGGCGAGTTTCCGCATCGGTGAAGCACTGCACGTCATGATGCCGGTACGTAGCGACCCGTCTCACTGTATTTATCGGTGTACTCTCCAGATTCCCGTGCAACATTTGATTCCTGCCTCACCAGATAGTTGGCATGGAGACTGACGGCCATGATATTACGCCGGACGTTGAGGTTGCAGCTAAACATGGGTCTTGAGGCCCTGGCTGACAGCGTTGGTACGTCTACCGCTACTCTCATAACAAGGGCAAAAGTCGCCAATCACTGAACTTCGGACCTGGTCTCGTATGGGTCGACGCGATTGGACATGTCAGCAAATGCAGGGCCCCCCAACTACCGATGTCTTTGATGCCTTGACTTGGACTCGCGGGGAGTTTATGCCCAATGTTGCTCGACGACCAGGTTGACTTGGAGGCGGTCCCGGACTTGACGATCGGGGATTGGAGATGGGGATAGATGGCGGCACAGGGGCCCCTGGTTGGCGCTATTCCAAGAGCGAGATGGAATTAACCGAGTATCCATGGTCAGTAGGAAGCACGTCGATGGGTGGCAATTAGGCGATTTGGGCCTCAAGACGCAGGTGTGTCTGGGGCAAAAGAAATGGATAATGCCATGTTGCAATGGCAAAGAAAGGAATATGGGCCCAGCGATTTGTGAAGTCGCGGCATCGGTGAGCGTTTCTGCATGCAAGTTGGACCATTCACACTGCAGTGCAGCACACACCAACGCCCAGTGCACTATCAGCTACGTGGGTGTGTGTATGTATGTGTAGTATGTGTGGTTGCAGAGTCGGCATACCGACATGTGCCGGCAGATGGGGCGGTTAGCAGAGGGCTTATTGCCGTTGAGATGGGCCCGTATATGCGAAGGCCAATCTGGTGGCTCTGCGGCATTGGCGTGTTTGGTCGCTTAGGGCTTATACCCGAGCGGTTGTTCTCGGGGGGAAGCCGACGTTGGTAGAGGGTGGCCAAGGGGAGGGTGAAGGTTGCTGCTCCGTGCTGGGATTGGCAGAGTGGGATGAAGGAGTAGATTCCGGGTTGGCAATAAAGTTGCGAATAGACCTGAGTGGGCGAATCTTTGCAGACGGTAGCAGTGTCTTATGCAAAAGGCCCCATGGGAACGAATCCTTTGTTCCACATTCCCACTTTGAGGCCGACAGCGTGGGTGGACGTGGCAGCGTGCAGCCTAGGTGTATACACGTCAAGGCGTGGGCAGGCTAGGGTGCAGGAGACTCGGTCTGGACGGGTGGAGGGGGTGCGAGTGCATAAAAGGATGGGTGATGGGACATGTAGGAGACACAGTAGGAGGGTAGATGGTGTGTACGTGGGCGATGAAGCGAGGAACCTAGGTTCGTAGATCGGCAGGGCGTCTAGTTCGCTGAGGTGTTGCATGACGCATGCCCTGGCCCCACCTTTTCCCAACGGGCCCACTTGGCCGACGTGATGCGGGTGCGGAAGAAGGCGTGAATTATCAGGGTAGCCGCGCCGTGCGCGCCTGTGAGGATTTAATCTGGATGGCGACGGTACGGTACACACGGATGCGGCCACTTGGCAGGCCGACTGTTTTTGTCGAGTGCAATCTGTATCTGGGACCGAAGAGGTCGTGTGGTGGTCCAGCGGAGGGCTAGCGAGTCGTTGTCGGCATCATGTGCATGGGCAGCATAAGTGAAGCAGACTTGTACTTGGCTACATAAGTACATGGCTAGGTAAGTGAGTAGACTGTGTACATGCACATACATGTGTACGACGGGTGGGTATTGGTTTTTTGTGCTGCATCTGCATTTCGATAGATGTGTATGTACATATGGGTTTGTGTGTGTGTACGTGCATGTGCGTCTGGGCGTGCAGCAGCCATTCAGACGGCGCTGAGTTATGCACACGTACGTAACCTCGGCCTTTGGTACTGCACGTCCGGCTGCTGCGGGCCTGGGGGCGAGGGGGGAGCGTTGCCAGGAACCGAAGACTAGACAGGCATACGCTCGGATGGGGAAAGCAGAGCCTCCTGCTAGCGACATGTATCTAGGCGCTCGCTCGCTGCCCACTGGACGTCTCCTTGTGTGGCCAAAATGGCCCTCACAGCCATGTTATGCAGCACGAGTCCCACCCGCGTGGTTCGGGAGCGCCAGCTGAACCATCTGCCCACCCGTCCAGCGGCGATGCTGTCTGTCGACACTGGCCACAGCGCGTCAGCTCCCCACGCTCAAACTTTTCACAGCCAGCTGCTCTGCTCAGTGCCCTCACCGGATTGCCCGGCCGCCAACTGAGAGCGATGGGCATGTGCAGCTCGGGTGGGGAACGCCACCTGTCGTCTTTGTCGAGTGTGGCCGCGTGAGAGCCGGGTCGATATCACCAAGTGCAAAGACAGCCAGCTTTAACTTTGCATGCTCCGTCCCGTGTACGGACAATTGGCCTGCCTGGGCTCTGGCCAGCCCGTCTGCCTGTCTCCATGCTCCCCCAAAGGCCGCTCCGATGCAGGGTCCCATCCGCCGACAGAGGGCATTCCCCAGACCATCTCCGTGCATGCCCACATACGTATGCGTACATATTGCACACCCTTAGCCAGCGCCGCATCGAGATGAACGGCCCCGTTTGCCAGGCCCGATAAAAAAAACACTCAAGTCACAGATAAGTCTAGACTCGCCAATCGGGTTGCAGATCGGTGGGGGAGGAGGTTAAGCCCACGCCCCCCTGCACGCTGCACGCTGCACGCCTGCCCACTAGCACACAGCCACTCATCGCCTACCGAGCTGCAACGCTTCCTCAACGCCATGGACACTGACGGAAGCAGGGATCCCTCTTCCCCGAATGCTGATTGTCTCCTAGCCGCCTTCCTGGCCTGCTAAATGCCTCTACTACCGAAAGCACAGGCTCCATCGCTCGACTCTCCTCCAACGCGACTGCGGCGGCAGAGCTAGTAAAATGGAACCTCGGACATGTTCGTCATCAACGCAACATGTTTGCCTGCATCCAGGCAGCTGTGGGCAGGTACCACCGCGCCCTTACTGGATGCTGCCTCGCCGCCCGACTTCTCTTCTCTACAAACCTCCTGCCACTGCCGCCCTTCATTGGCCATGTCGTAAAGCTTCCTTCTCTTCCTCTTTCTTATCCACATCGAATCACTGCATTTCCCCAATCCTCTTCCAACGGCTTATTCTGACGCGAGCACCCCCCAGCGCCACCCTCGCTCCTTCCTCGAATCCCATCCACTCTTGCCTCTACTTGACCATTATATACCCGCCTTGACCTGGCCCTTCCTTCTCTCTCTCTTCGATACTGCCCTCTGCAACTCCCTCACTCACTCCCTCCCTCCCTCCCTCGCCTCTCCCCATCTAGTCACATCATCTCTCTCACACACGACACCATGGACCGACCTCAAGTCTCCATTCCTCCCGTAAGTCACCATGCACTACCTACATGTCGCGTGCTCCATATACTAACATGCCAACGCTAGGCTGCGAATGTACTCGGGGTAGGTCATCTGCTCCACCACACTTGAGTCATGATACTAACCTGTCTGGTCTGCAAATAGACAATCGGAACTGGTGAGTGAACTGCTGTTGCCACCTTGCGACTATGCTGACTTGATGCTAGTGTATGCACACCATGCAATCCAACTTTTTGATCAACTTTTGCTAACATGGCTTCCCTGACTGTAGTTGTTGGTGTGTACAGGTATGTAACCAATGGACCATTTGGAAATGACTGCGACTAACACCCAACAGATTATCCCACAGTAAGCATCACAATGCCACCAACTCAGCACCAACTAACATAGCCCAGAATATGGCACAACTGGCGCCGAAAGAGCACAGAGGGTCTTCCAGGATCCATGCTCATTCTCTGGTCGATATGTAAGCTTACTGGCTGCCAATATGCAGGCTGGGTACTAACCATTGCAGGTGGCGTTCCATTTGGTGTATACGCCATTGTTCAGGTACGGCTGCAGCCACAAACGCTTGGCGTCTGCTAACATGACTTGCTAGAACTTCAACTTTGCGCTCAAATTCCAACCTCAAGCATTCGCCAGTCTCACGCTCATTTCTTGGGGTCAGACACTGTACTATCACAAGTCAGTCTATCCCCCCGGAATAACCAACAACGACTAATACGCGATAGCAAATGGCGAGTATGGACAGCCACCCTGGCGACCATTGCCCTAGCCGCCAGCTTTGGGCTTATGGAGCTGATTCTTATCCTCACTCTGCGTGTAAGTAACCGCAAGCCGTTTCTTGCTGCTCCCAACTGACCAAATCCTTTCAGGGTCCCTATAGCCGAGGCGTCGAATGGCCCATGATGCTCATGGCCATCTTAGCAACCATCATCCAAGTCGCCGGCCTGATCCCCCCTTTCTTCGAACTTGCAAAGCGCAATGGACGAGTCATTGGAATCGGTACGGAAGCGGCTGGCTTACCCCGAGGGAGATATTGTGGCTGACGTTCCTAGACTTTTGGTTTCTCACTATCGATTACGCTGGTGCCTTCTTCTCGCTCATGGCTCTTGGTATGTTCACCCCACTTTCTCCAAAGCCACATGGCTAACAAAGGAAATAGTTGCACAACAATGGTTCGATGCCCTCGGTGGCAGTCTCTACATCTCTTGGTATGTCTTTTGTTTCTCTTATGTCACAGTCATCGAGTTCATTCACTAACCTTATTTAGTATGCTACTTGAAACCGGTATCTTTGTTTCGCAAGCCATCTGGCTCTGGCGTGTTCGCCATGTACGCGCCGAAGCCAAGAAGGCTGGAAAGACGTATGACGAATACATCGCCGAGAACCCGAGCAAGAAGCTATTCGCAAGCGAATCCTCCGAAACTTTTGTCGATGTCGAAGCTGGCATCGAGAAGCGATCAGGAAGCACATGCACTGAGAAGACGGCTGTTAGTCAACATGAGAATATCCTAGCCACACCCAGCGAAGCCAAATCAAGGGAAGGCACACCAAACGACGCAACGGCAACATCGCCGGAGACACCGCCGAAGTCATCATCGGAGTCATCGCCGGAAGCACCTCAACAACCACCTGCTGCTGTCTTGAAACCCAGCGGGTCTGGTCCATCATAATCATTCAAGCTTTGTATTACTTGGACAACCTTTCGGCGGCTACAACTTGGTAATTTTTTTAAACTTTTTTCCTCGGCCAGGAAACAAAACACATAGGCCCAGCGAGTTCAAGAATAGCCTCGGCTATCTTGTTTTCATTCATCTTTCATTTTATTCTGAGTATTGCTAAAGCTAAAAGGATGCACACGACACATGTACGAACAATACATAATTTCTGGGACTTGGGTGGAGGTATTTTGGCGTTATGACATGGATATCTAGGGTATGATTACAACGTGGCAGGGCCAAAAAGTTCATATTGCCTGGGAAACCTCGGAAAAGGGGTAATGGATCAATCAATTAAGCAAGCAAGCATGAGGCAATGAAATAAAAGTTTGATTGCTCGTCAGCCTGGTCAGACGTTTGGTTGTTGTCGTGGAAGTTGCAATATGCTCTTGTGCTGACTACATGCATACCACATAAATATGTTGAGAGTTTTTTATTTCCTAATTAGAGGGTGTGTTGCTGTCATGATATGTATAGTGGTATGGCATATACGACAGGGGGGTATCAGTACATACGCGTAATGGGGCACACAAACCAAAAGCGGGTTTTCCAACATATCCACCTTTGGAAGCGTTTTTCCCCAACCAATTTTTTCCCCTTTCTTCTTTCTTTCTTAATTTAGCAACTAGTTGTTCGAGCATATGTCGGCAACGTAACTCAAACAGGATATTCTCTTGGTTTCCTTAACTCTCTAATTTTGTCTCTTATTGAACCAATCCACACATGCATATATGTGCATTGCGTGCATCACCGTGTATGTGTACTCCACTCCACCCGCCACATCCTGCATTCAACAAAACAGAGAACAAAAGTGGTAGGCGAAAGAAGTCGAATCCGGGAAAGAGAGTCTGACGTCAATTCTGTGTTCGGATACGAGATATGTTGATTGCTTTTCTTTTGGGGGGGGAGGGAGGGAGGGAGGGGGGTTTCTGCGAAGGCACATGTTGTACGCATATCCACACACACACACACACACACGCACTTCTAATGTGATTGGGTTGGACAAAGGGGTGTGATATTCATATGCAAGTCATGCGGTGCGACCTTGGCTTTATGACGCACAAAACACGAGCATGATGAAAGAATATGGAGAAGAAGGGAAAAAAAATTTATTCTGGTTCCTTGATGGGGGGGTTTGAAGTGCGAGTGCGAGTCGTCCAACAAGTCGGAGGAACAAGGGGGACGCGGGACATGGGTGTAGGGCCGATTGAAGGGGGTACGCAATCGCCCTTTTTTTTTCTCGCCTGCCTGTGGGGAGTGGGTTGGAGTGAATACGGAGGTTTTGTAAGGAATGAAAGGCAGGGACGTGCTGGGGGTGGCGGTTACTTTGTGAGCGTGGGGTGATTTTTGCTTTGTCTGTGCGGGATGGAGGGTATGCAGGGTATTGTGGGGGTTGAGGGTGAAAGGGATAGGGGTGTGAATTATAAGTACAAATGTGTAGCCTAAGGCAGAGAGTTGGTAGTCGGGCTTGCTTGAGCAGTTCTGCGGAACTTGGAAGATGAGGGCTTGCGTATCAAGGGTTTTTGCGGTTGGTTTATTCATTACCTTTCTCAGCATTCACACAAACTGTGTAGGACGTAACCTCTTCTGGGACTCACCTCCCCAAAACGAGACACTGAGTGACGACACCGATTCGCGCTAATGGCTCCCTTCCATCAGCATCACCAGCATCACGGCATTGTTAGGTGTGTGTGTGTGTGTGGGGAAGCTGGAAAAGGGTCGCTGCACAATGGAGAAAAGAGCAGTCAGATGCTCATCCTCTCCCCAGTCCACTTGATCCTCGTGAACCACGTATAGATGTTTTCAAGTTTTATCGACGCTCATGTGGGTCTGGATAGTGACCGTACGTAGTAGTAGATGTGGCAATGGGGTACCGTCTCAGGTTAGGCCAGATCACAGGTTGACGTCATTACCGGTGATGTGGACATGAGGCATTTTGGTCAGTCGGGAGTCCAATCGTGGGGGACAAGTACTAGCAGTAGTTTCCATCAGTTGCCGACATCATACTCAAGACGGTTAGCAGAATCTCCGATTCGGCATGTTTTGCAGGTATACATATTTCAGCCTTGTAGGGTTGGCTGCATCAATACTTCAGTCCAAGACTTTTTTGGGATCCGGTGTGCCGATTCAAAGAGTGTCACTAGCCTCTTCCGACATATTACCTTGTTGATTTCAGAATGGATACTTGTGGTATACTTGTGGTTCTGATGCACGCTGTCAGCGGGGCAGTAAAAGAGACTTGGTAATCGAGCAAGCATGGAACAGCCAAGCCTAAGCATAAAGTCCCAGGTGACATGGCCTTTGCAGAGGTCTTGGCATTGGGCGACATAGTACATAGTCGGGCATGTCCAAATCACAATGTTACTGTAGACCTGAGGTGGTTTGAGGTGCTCTGGCTTGGGGATTTGACAATAGGTGAGGGGTGGAAGAAGATGGAACGTCGAGGCAGTTTCGGGAACTGGTGGCACGTGAAGCAGAGCTGCGCGTCTGTGTGACCTCATCAAGGCAGCATAGCCCGCGCTACCGCGTCTCACCCCATCCCTCAAACCTACCGTCTCAACCTACACGTCGACCTTGCGCTTCTGCATCGCAAATCCATCTCGAGCGGCGACAAGTAGAATCACCATGGCCGGACCCAAATACCAGAACGTGCCCCAGCGCGACTCGCTCGACGAGACTGTGCCAGCGCCCTCATACTCGCAGGCGCCACCCAGCTACCAGGCCACGGAACCCCAGGAAGCGCTTCTGCGTGGAGTGCCGCGTAGCGAAGATGATAACCTGCCAGACGACTTCAAGTTTGGTGGAGTAGTGGCAGAGGCGACGCTGGACATTCGAATGGCATTTATCCGAAAGGTGTACGCCATATTGTAAGCTCTCCTTTAGGCTCCCAAAACCCATTTGTCGCATATACTAACAGCGTACAGGACTGTCCAACTCCTCGCCACGGCCGCCGTAAGCTTCGTTTCCATGACATCGGTGACATACCGAAACTGGATTCAAACACACTCGTGGCCGTTGTGGGTGTCGATGTTTGGCTCCTTTGCCTTCCTCGGACTTACGTATTGGAAACGCAAATCATACCCCACGAACCTGATGTTCCTCGCCGGTTTTACTGCCATGGAGGCATACATGATCTCGGTCATTGTGTCGTTTACCGAGTCCAAGATTGTGCTGCAGGCCGTGTTCTTTACGCTGGGCATCTTTGTCGCGCTAAGCCTATTTGCGTGCCAGTCCAAGTACGACTTCACAAGTTGGGTGCCGTATCTGTTTGGAGCACTGTGGGTAGTGGTGCTCTTTGGCTTCATGTCGGCCTTTTTCCCGTACAACTCGACTGTGGACCTGGGCTATGGCATCATCTGCGCGCTAATCTTTTCGGGGTACATCCTGGTCGACACGCAATTGATTATGCGCCACTACCATGTTGAGGAGGAAATCGCAGCGGCTATCTCGCTCTACCTGGACATTATCAACCTCTTCCTCGCGATCCTGAGGATTCTCAACTCGCAGAACCAGAACTAGATTAGGCGTAGAATGATGAGGGGTACATGATGGATGAGGATATCATGTTGGAAGGGGCGCTTGGGGCGCCATGGAAATTGTCTTTGTTGTTCAGATTGCGGGGTTGTTTGCATGTTCTAGGCACAGTGTATACACGTAGCTGGTGGAATATTGATACAGTGATTAGGCACAGTGATCTGGTTCCAATGGGTGGTATATGCAAGCATGTAGACATTTGTGGTGAACGGCTACTCTACCGGCGGCACTTTGTGTACTATGGTGTGCCGTGGGGCAATGGCAATGACTCGATTGGGGTGGTCGTCGACATGGCCCTCGGCGCGGTCAATAGTGTGCCATTTGCATACGACATGGTTCTATGTGAGGATACATCAGACCATGGCGGGGTAGTTGTCGACGGGGCAGTCTGGATGCGTGGGCTTGTGATTGGCCGGCAGAGGCGCAACGGGAACCCAGGGGTTTTCCGCCGATGAAGCTTTTGCAGGTCGACGACTTGGCGCATCCACATTCGCTGGCACTCCGTCCACCACAAAGCGACGCCCATGATTTCCCATTGCCGCAGGGGCCTCCGCTCCCACGCCACGTCCAGGACGAGATGGTGCGCCGGGCCACTCGCCTCCCCTTGGCCCAGCCACAGCGCGGGAGGTGGACTGCGCTCAAGTGCCTGCCTCGATACATACACATTTGCCATATCTCGATAGATTCGCATGTCTGTACTTGTTTATTGCTTGCATGCATGTGTATTACCTACTTACTACTTACTTGGTTACTTTGCCGACTCCTGGCGCCCCGGCACCAGAGTTAGGCGAGGCCCAAAGTTACGCGAAAGTCACGAGTGGTAGCGGGCAGGGCAGGCTCGAGAACGCAGCTAGCAGAGCACTGTTAGCTCCCGCGACACCTGTCCACAGCCCACAATCCAATCCTCCAGGGGCAATTGGTCGCTGGCTGCATATCTCTACAATACAAAGTGGAGCGTCCGTCTCAGACTCCTTGGCCGCCCGCGCGCACACTGCACAGCTTGTCGGGGAGATTGACTGTTGATTGGCGCTTGCCCGCTTTCACGTCTAAACCCTGAATATCTTTGCTTGGGCGCACCACACCGCTCCCCCCGTCAATTGTTTCTGGTCTGCGACTCTGTCCCCCCGCAGACACTCCTCTCTGCCTCTACCGTCCGTCTCTGTGCCATTGCGCTTCCCAATGGCTGCTGCTTGCTGAGATACACCGCCCACTATCCTCACCACCCTCACCACCCAGCAATCAATTCCTCAGACCCTGTCCCCGTCCCCGTCCCCGTCCCCACACCCGTTGCTTCTGGTACAGCACATTCGCTGTCTTGCAACAAGGAACCTGGGACGGCACCCCAACCGCTTCCGCCAGACCATCTACTTCCACACCCACCACACGCCATTAATCCGCCATCCGCCATCATAAATCCTGACCAGACCCTTTTCCCTCATCGCCCCGACTCTTTCCCACGTTTAGAGACACCGCCCCCCAAAAGGGAGCCTAGCATGGCGGCCAAAGCCACCATGCCACCTGCCAGCGGTGCGCCACAAAAGTCACACACAGCAAATGTCCGAGCCGAGAAAGCACCCATGGCGCCCAAGAAGCGAAAGATGCAGCCAAAAAAGGTCGACGATGAGGGTCTCCTCGCCTCGCTATGCACACTCATCTCTGACCATCAGATTGGTATGTCTCTCCCCCAGCATCTCAACACTCCTGTGGCCCCTTTCAGAGCTGACTTGGACCAGGCATATCCGTCAACCTCCTCACTCTCCTCACCTTGACACACGTTTTCTTTCCCCGCGCTCGAAGCCGGACCAACAAGTTTTTCCACATGTCCTACTATAACTCCGAAACTGGCATGTATGGCTGTGGAACCGACGATCTCCCCTTTGTCTTCCTGTGGACTATCATTTTCACCGGACTCAGAGTGGCTGCTATGGAGTATCTGTTGGACCCACTGGCTAGGCTCGGGGGCATTAGGACAAAAAAGGGACTCAATCGATTCAAGGAACAAGCGTGGCTAATTGTCTACTATACCTGCTCCTGGTCACTCGGAATGGTATGTTTATTCTTGGGCAGGAGCATAGCGAATCAGGGATGCTAACGAGACAACAGTACATCATGTATCACTCCGAGTTCTGGCTCAACCTTCACGGCATCTGGGAAGGTTGGCCTTTCCGAGAGGCTGACAGCCTCTTCAAATGGTACTACCTCGTCCAATGGGGCTTCTGGATCCAGCAGATTCTTGTCGTCAACATTGAGGAAAAGCGCAAGGATTATGCGCAGATGTTGTCCCACCATCTGTTCACGACCGCCCTTATGGCTCTGTCGTATGGATACTTCCACATGCGTGTCGGTATCGTAATTCTCACAATCATGGACTTTGTCGACATTGTATTGCCAGTAAGTTGACACTCCTCGAGCAAGCGATTTCGGGACTAATCATTGCAGACTGCCAAGCTTCTCAAGTACATGGGCTACACAAATGCATGTGATTATGTTTTCGGTCTCTTTGTTATCTCCTGGATAGTCACCCGCCACGTCCTTTACATGATGGTCTGCTGGTCCATCTACGCTTACGCACCCCTCGACATGGAACCCGGCTGCTACCTCGCTGACTCCACGTCAAAACAAACGTCGTTTGTTCCCATATCGAACACTTCCCAATTTGAAGCTCTTGGAGGCAACAACCACTGGGGAAACCTTCTCAAAGCATACAATGACCGTAACGGACCTATTTGCTGGAACCCACAGATTCGATACTACTTCCTGGCTCTCCTCCTGACCCTGCAAGTGTTTTGCTGCATCTGGTTTGCCACCATTTCCAGAGTCGTTTACACTGTAGTCAGGGGACATGCTGCCGAAGATTTGCGTTCAGATGACGAGGGTGAAGGCGAGGAGATTGAGGAGGATCAGACCAATACCATTTTCAATTTGGCAACCACGTGCGCCGAGTCGGGCATGAGCTCCCTGCAACCAAAGGAGGAGGAAGTCGGCGTTGACGCTCTGACATTTGCTCGCATGAATGGTGCCAGTCAGCGACGACAGGCCAGGAGGGAGAGCGCACGATCAAGTGGCATCAGCATTCCAGGACATGGTGATCGCAAGGAGCTATTGGGTCGCATTGGCTGCGACAAACCTTCCTAAGCTCTAGTCATTATTCTTTTGACAAATCTTATGGCGTTTTTGGCGTGTAATGTAGGGAGAGGAGTTCATGTTTCTATTATCTTCGGATTGCATGGCTTTGCAGATGTCGCTGGATATGTATACCCTACTAGAAGACGAGTGTAGAATATTGCCTCTACCATCGCTTTTTCTCGAGCAATGACCAGCCTTGCTCATACTCGTGTATAAAAGAATTTCGATACGGATTTGTGACGGATTTGCGTTGGTTGTGCTAAATATGAAGTGAAGTTGTTCTGTCATCCTCGGCTTGTTCTGATATCATGGTGGGGCTACCAAACCGACCTCGGGCGAGAACGACGGACGCTAGACGCGCACTATGTCTGGGACTACAAAAGTGCTACTAGTTTATATACCTCTATAGTACACTGGTACCCATTCCTTATGCTGAGAGACGTTCTCACTCTCGAATAAAAGCTGTTGCTCGGTTCGATGCTGGATCAGTAGCACCTTTGCACCTACCCTTCACTCAGGACTACACAGACACACACGTGACAACTACCACCACCATGTCACCAACCATGTCCACAGAACCCAGTCAACCGCTCCCCAACCCACCTTTCTACACCATCCCCAACATCAACAACCTCCGCGACGCATCCCTCTCCCTCACCACTACCTCAGGCTCCCGCATCCGCCCACACACCCTCTTCCGCAGCGCCGAAGTCTCCAAACTCGACGTGGCAGGCTGGACGGCCGTACATTCCCTCGGCATATCGCACGTCTTCGATCTCCGCTCCAAACCCGAAGTCGACAAGGGCTGGGCGGGCATCGTCGGCAAAGATGCCTCGGGCGACGACGACGTGCGCCCCGGTTGGCTGCAGGCTATGGAGCAAGCGGGCGTAGCGCGCTCGTGGGTGCCAGTGTTTGAAGAGAGTGATTATTCGCCTGAGCGCCTGGCGGAGCGGTATTCAAAGTATATGCATGAGGCCGTTACCGGGTTCGTGGAGGCGTATCGCGATATTTTGGCAAACGGGGGACCCGCGTTTGGCACGATATTGAGGTATCTTGCGGCTATCTCACCGCCTTCTTCTTCTTCTTCTTCTGCTGCAGAAGATGGTGATAAGGTTGGGGCGCTGGTGCATTGTACGGCGGGGAAAGATCGGACGGGTATTTTTTTCGGACTGCTGTTTGAGTTTCTGCGTGTGCCGCGTGAGCAGATTGCAGATGAGTACCAACTTACTGAGTTGGGGCTTGCGCATATTCGAGAAGAGGTTGTGGCAAGGTTGATGCAGAGTCCGGGGTTTAAGAAGTATATGCTGGCGAGTATGGATGGGACGAAACTTTCGGTTGAGGATATTGCGAGGAGTTTAAAAGGCGAGGAGGGACAGGATCCAGTTCAGGTACCGCCCGAGGTGCTTGAGAAGGGAAGGCAGGCGGCGCTACGAATGATTGGGGCAAGAAGGGAGAGTATGTTGAAGAGTTTGGAGATGCTGGATGAGGAGTTTGGGGGTGCGGAGCGGTATTTGAGAGAGAAGTGTGGGTTAAGTGATCAGGAGTTGGATGCGTTGAGGAGGAATCTTTTGGTAGAGGGACAAGCAGTCAAGGGGCATGCTAAGAATGGCTCTCTTTGAGTGATAGGTTAGAAATATGAACTTAGACAGATAGAAATCACGTGTAGATCCAGTCTTGTAAGTCCAAAAGACATATCAAGTATTTGCAATAACGCTACATGCGCCGAATATCGCCTAATGTGGTAGCTCCTTACACCTGTCGCACACACAATCTCATTACCCCAGAGTATCAACACATGCATCTACTTAGTGTCAACCGCGCATGCATCGCCACACGGCTGCTTCGCTTCCTCACTGTGATCCGAGGCCTTAGCCTCGACCCCAATTAGGCGTGCCAACTCCGAGATATTCGTATGATCCACAGTGTTTTGCATGCGATACATGTACTCGCATTTACCATCTGCACATCCCATGTATGAGTTTCTTTAGGTTTCCATTGTTTTGGAGGACGGTAGACTTACCTGCGGAAATGATTACTTCGCCACCATTCAACGCCTTAGGTCCGACTTGGTTCACATGTTGAATACTAGCCACTGCACCCTTGATGCCGCCCCAGATCCTGGATGTAGTGCTTCCTGCATTGCGCATGTAGTCTTTCGGCGCATCGCCGGCTTTGGCCTCAGCTAGGTTGTACTTGAAGCCAAAGATGTTGTGCAGACGGAGCGAAGGATCCGTGTAGATGGGGTAAGCAGATGCTGATTTCGCTGCATATGTATCGATGGGTTGGTAAGAACCGCAACCGATTGCCAGGACTTGTCCGATCTTTTAGTTTAGTTCTACATTAGGGATGTAAGACGTACTTTGAGTAGAAGGAGGAAGGTTAGACGGGGGTATTGATTCGCTGATGCATCGGAGATAGGCCTGGCAGTTCAGACACCCTTTTAGAACTCGTGTTAGTGTTTATGTACCTTGCAGAATCATAATGATTCGCGCGTTGCTGTTCGCAGTAGCGCGAAGCCATAAGCTTAGGAACCGGGTCCAGTGGGGCCGTGGCGCGATCCAGAAGTTGCTTTTACAACATTACGCATACGCAAATGGACTTACAAAAATGCCTGGTGAATATCAAAACACTTCGTTTCCCTTTGACCAGGTCACCCAGGATGTGAGTTTTCCCTTCGCGATCATACACCTCGATCTTGAGTGCCTCTGACAGTTCGGTAGTGGTCGGCAAGCTCGTCGGACTGGAGGCGGCTGCAGGTTCATTAGAAGAAGCCATTGTTCACACCAAAATCACAGATCCTGATCAAAGAATGTTGTCGAGGTGGCTGCGCTTCTCTCGCGAAATAGGACAATTTGGGATTTGTGATGACGTGTGGCAAGTCACCTTTTGTAGGTAGCTACACATGACAGGTGGTGCCAAGGCACTATACCCGTTTAAGTGGATTGTATCACCTTAAAGTAACCAAAGTTTTTTAAAAAAAGATAATACCTTAAAAAATAGTAATTATAAAGACCTGTTTTTAACCCTATGATTAAAGACCTATTCAATCTAGTAATCAAGAGTCTCACTAATATCGAAAACCCCAATTACGCAACATGTCTAACTATGCTACGCGAGATGCGACATTCATTCTGACCGAGAGTAACAACTGGACAGCGTGGTATCGTCAACTTAAAATCAGATGTGAATCACTGAATATTTGGGCACTCGCAGATCCAGAGGGCTCGCAAGAACCACAACCAAAATCAAGGCTTCCGCTCCCTCTGGTGCTATCAAATTACGAATCGATCGCGACTCTACCGTTGAGTACAACCACCGCGTCGAGCTCCCGAACCCGCGGTAACACGCAACTATCACAACGCGAAGAACCTGTTGTTGTAGACATACCTACGCGAGTCTCCGATCTGACGACCACCGGACAAGAAGAACATCAAGAATATCGTAAAGACTACAAGATGCGCATAGAAACGTATAGATTCCTCAAAAAAGAATACAACGAGGAACATGCAAAATATGAAAAGTTGCTTTTTACATCTTAGGGACCGTGTCGTCCCACCTGCAACTCGGTTGCTGCTACACGGGAAATAGCGTGCGAGAATGGATCAAGTCACTCCAAGAGACTGTCGGAGTGGATCCTGAAGAAGAAAGAGTACGAGTATAAGAAAGATATCTCGGAGCTCTCAGGCCCATGAGAACCCCAACAACTGGGAACCTTGGTTGATGGAATACGACCAATCAGCCACTCGGGCGGAAGCCCTAGAAGTGAGCGAGGTACGAAACACTAAGGATATGATACGAGACTTCCTAGACGCCGTCAAAAAAGTGGTCCCAAACTGGGTGGCCACCTTTTCTGGGCCAGGATATAACAAGGCAGCAATGGATAGAAAGAAGGCGATGAAACTCTTCCGAGAACACATAAGCTAATCCAACCCGACCAAGAGTAAGCAGAAGAGCGCTTTCGTTATAGAAGAGGCATCGTTTCTCGCTAGCGGTGAATCCGACCAGAATACACTTAGAGACGCCTCAGATATATCTCAAAGAGCACCACCCGCCTACTCACAGGGCAACCTAAGAAAACCCAGGAAGAAAAGAAAACGTAATAGTCAAGAGACCAAATCCAAGCAATTCACAAAGAGAAATACCATGGCAGCAGGAGATGATTATCCTGCTTGTGGACAGCGCCACAATCTATCAGACTATTACTACGCATTTCCTAAGAAAGCACCCAAGTGGTTCAAACCAAATCGGAAGATTGCTAGGTTAGTCAAGCACATAATAAAATTTAATAACGAGCTATAGAGAGTAATAAACAGCCTTGTCCTAACCAGGAGGGCAGCACGCCTCACAAGCTCATCTAGATCGGCAAGTACGCCTTAGATGAAGGTGTCACAAACACCAGATGCTCAAGTTGACTAAATACAAGGGAGGATGATTGCGAAGATCGAAGGAAAATAGGGATTGGCGTCATTTAAAGTCGACAGCTAACACTATCCGCTCCGAAACTCATTCATTCTCGATTCCGGCACTACGATCCACATCTGCAACTAACGCGAGCGACTCGAAGACCTCCGTCTACCACTCCCCGAAGACTGTGTATGGGCAGGAAATGCTCAAATGCAGATTCAGGGATAAGGAACCGTACGAATTAGAGCACGAGACATAACCGGAGAACGCATCATTAGGCTACACAACGCCGCACTATGTCAGGATATCCATTGCAACTTAGTATCATTCAGACTACTTCGACAGCAAGGATTCTGGTGGGACAACAAAGCAGAGCCAACAATGCTTTTCAAACGCGACAACTCAGTCACAGCAATCTTAGACAAATTCTGCCACCAATGGGTGATCGAAAGACAAGGAGGCCTGCTCAGAAGACCACGGCCCTTATATGGCACAAACGCCTAGGACATCCAGGGCCAGCAGCGATCGAAAATCTAGTGCACCACTCCGAGGGGGTACAGATCAAGGGTGTTACGACGGTCGAATGTGACGCATGCGGCAAATCCAAATCCAGACGCCAAATTCGACGGACGCCACGCATCAGTGAGGAAGGATCAGGAGAACGCATAGCTTTAGACTTCCATAGTTATGAAGAGGGCAGATCTACAAAGGAAAAGAGCCAGCTACTGATAGTCGACTGCTACTTACGCTATACCTGGGACTTTTACTTTCAGGACAATCGACCAGCGCGTTCAATCATTCAACTACTTAATATTTTCTTTAAATTCCTTTACAAACAATTCAACATCGCAGTCAAAGTTATCGGATTAGAAAACAAGATCATTACTCGAAAGTCTAAGGTGAGCATGTGGTGCAAATCCCTAGGCATCAAACTCGAGCCTTCCGCTCTAGACACGCAAACTCAAAACGGAGGAGCCGAACGCTCAGAGGGTGTGATAAAAGAGAAGGCATACGCAATGAGATTAGACGCAAACTTACGATAGAAACTGTAGCCAGAGATCACGCGAGCCACGGTATATCTATACAATCGAACGCCTAACTACTCAAATCGCTGGACTACTCCATACGAAAGATTCTTTACGCGCGTAGCGGCACTAAACAGGATTGTGACTGGACCTCGAAAACCAAATCAAACACACCTTAAGGCATATGGATATAAGGCGTTCGCAATGACCGACGACACAAATCGTGGAAAGTCAAGACTTCAGAGACTTAACCCAAAAGCATGGATCGGATACTTGGTAGGCTACCAGTCAACCAACGTCTATCGAGTCTAGATCCGGTCAATGGGAAAGGCCATAAGTATACGGGATGTGGTGTTTAATGAGGAGACAGTGTTCAACGGCAAGACTGAGGACCTAATAGAAAATCTGATACACGGCACCCTCGAAGAAATCGCCACATGGGTGAGGACGGTCGAGCTCCGAGCAGCCAAGACAGACCAACCCGAGACCGAGACATTCTTCGAAGACGACAAGATAGAAGACACACCAGCACCACGCCGATCAAAGCGAAGCTACAAAGGAAAAGAAACACAGGGAGCGTACCCAACTCCTCCGGACACTCCTCCTCTAGTAGCTTTCCTTACTCGAACTATCCAAGACCACGAGCCAAGGGATTAGGGCACGTCAAAGATCATCCCATGGGCAGCGGCGTTCATGACGGGCACTCAAGCTGGCATAATCGGACATCATGAAGGAAAAGGGATCGACAAAGCCCAATTAACGAGAATGCTGTCAAAAGGGACATGGCCACATCAAAGTCAACTGCCTCCCCCACCAACGGCGTACTTGGATCTAAAAACTTACCCTATCCACGAAATGTTCAAGGAAGCAGAGCGGGACCACCTCAAGAACCACAAGCGAATGCAGTCATGGTCAGAAGGTCCCTCGTCACCAGTCAAACGAGCAGGACACCACATCCTAGACTGTATGTGGGTATACACCTACAAACTAGATCAAAATCACTATTTGCTTAAATGCAAGGCACGCTTGGTGGTTCGAGGGAACCAATAGGAAAACATCACCTCACAAGATACCTATGCAGCAACATTAGCAAGCCGTTCATTTCGGACTCTAGCGGCAATCGCAGCTAAGGATGATTTGGAGCTAAAACAGTACGACGTTACAAATGTATTTGTACATGCCACCATAGACCGGGAAATCTATATGAGAATGCCAAAAGGCTACCAAAAGCCAGGTACTATACTTAAGGTCAAGAAGGCCCTCTACGGATTGCAGATCTCTCCACTACTATGGCAGAAAGAGTTCACGACAACGCTCACACACCTCGGCTTTAGCCCAGTCCCGCATGAGCCATGTTGCATGATCAAGGACAGTGTTATCATCTTCTTTTACGTTGACGGAATCATGCTCGCATACCCGAAAGACAAAACCACAACTGCATCTAAAATCGTGGAGTCACTGAGAGGGAATACACCCTAACGGGCAGTGACGACCTACAATGGTTCCTAGGGTTTGAGATCGTGCGAGATCGAAGGAAAAGAGTCGTTCAGCTTTCCCAGACGGCGTACATCGAAAAAGTCAGCCATCTGGCCGAACAATCCAATGGCCAATCTAGAGCTAGTACCAAGCCCCAACCTAGCGACCCCTACAGCGATTAACCGATATCAACGGAAGATTAGATCGCTACTTTTTACGACAGTAACAACAAGACTAGACGTGGCATTTGCAACATCACGATTGGCCCGACTTCTCGTTAACCCTAGTACCGAGCATTAAAAGGTGGTAGATCGAGTAATCCGCTACCTGAACGGCACTAAGACAAGAGCACTTTAACTATGACACGAGAGGGGCTAGAGGTTGCTAGCGACGCGTCCTTCGCGTCCTTCGCGGACAATACCGCAGATCGAAAAAGTTTACAAGGGTACGTGATTAAGCTCTTCGGAGGACTGGTCGCGCAGCGAGTAAGCAAGCAGGATACGGTTACCACGTCAACAATAGAAGCAGAACTGCTATCGCTGTCGCAAACAGCTAAGGAAGCCATGTTTCTCACTCGGCTGCTGAAGGGGCTACATGTTTCCTTACCAAAATCGATCATAACAATCAACTACGACAATAAATAAACAATACGACTAGTTACAGAGGATGAAGCAAAACCACATACTAGACTCTGGTATGTAGACATTCACAACCACTGGCTCTGACAAGAAGTCTCCCGCGGCAAGATTATATTGAAGCATGTTCCAATAGATCATATGCTCGCCGATGGACTAACGAAGGCCCTGCCGGCGAATGAATGGGAGAACTTTTTTTAACCAATCAGGACTTGTTGAGAGATGCTAGGTATCACCCAGGACAACTCAGGTGAATGAAATAGAAAACTGTATTGAAGTAGCTATTAAAGCGGACGAAGACAATACGCCAGCTCTGAAGGGGTTTAAAGCTAAGGATGTGTGTCAGAATTGAGGCTTTAGTTAAGCCCATGCATAAGGCTAAGGAAACGAAAGAAAATAAATGCCTCTACTGCCGGATGCTCAGTCTCGCTATTACAATACGACTTTAACTGCTGCTGCTGTTTGCACTGCCTAAAGACGCTGATGCTGTCGCTCTACTAAAAAACAATAATACCTTAACACTATGCTCTTATTACGATCTAAGGCAAGCTGCTTGCAAGTAATTAGCTTAGAGGATCTAAAGAGACAGACTACACCGCAATTCTTCAACTACGCTATAGTTATATAACTAATCGTATATAATTAGATATATATATAAGGCACACTTTGGGCCATCTACGTTGTAACGAAGTACTTGAGTAAGGACTGGGAGCAAGCTAAATTGTGTATACTATCTTTTTTTCTCTCTAAGCTGTGCGCGCCATATAGGCAGTGGAAGTGCAATATTTCTTAGGAGGTGTTTTAAGTGTCTGCCGTCGCATACTGGTAATAGCAGACAGCAAACTACGTGGTGAAGACTGACGAGTACCAGATGATTCGCCCTGTATGATTCACTCGGGCCTGTTTAGCTAGTCAAGCCTTGAGTAACTCTAGTGCCTAACTCTAATATGTTCTGATGGAGCGCGATTAATGTGAGGAGCGTCACGCAAGAAGACAGGGGAAGTAGTGTCGCGCATTGCTGGCTGAACTAGCATTATATTCTTACTACTAGCTGTGTCTAAGGGATACGGAGCGCTCAGCATCGCAACTAGTTTAGCCAATGTACAAACACCAACACAACCCTAGATTAGAGTGTTCCATCCCCTATCTTCTCTCCTAGTAGTCATATTTGTAGCAGAGATATCCGCCCTGAATGTCCATGACATCTCCTACAGTAACGTTCGGGCGAATTTCATAGGTGGTCATTACGTAGTCCAGAGTCGTCTCTTGGCATCCTCCTTCGCACGGCCCCTGCGAGGAAGGGCCGCCCAGTTGATATACGCGATTGTCAGGGTCTGCGGACTGCCAGTTCCACCAAAGACGATCTACGAAAGCGTGATGGAGATAAAAGAGCGGGTCTAAGCTGGTCAGCTTGTGATCGAGGCGAGAGGGCAACTAGGGAACGAAAACATGAACTTACCTCCGGGGCTTGCATCGATATCCTGCATGACTCCGCCAATCTATAACGCCAGTTAATCTGATGTTTCGCATGCCCTCTCCTAGTGTACTTACTCCACTATGACCAGCACCGTGGGTTGTCAAACCGGTCTCCTCCCAAAAATCGAGGTAGGTGCTTAAATTGTGGCAGTGCTCAACATAGGTTTCGTTGGCGAGGGTGCTATTCGTCTCCTCAACTGAGCGGGATAAGCAATGTTCAGTCAGAGTTTGGCCCGGACCAATGTGAAGAGTGGTATTTGCGAAAGGACCATCAGTAACACATCCATCTGGACCAGTCCCGTTCCCACCAAATCCTGTATCAGGATCAAGGAGCGGCGAGTCCATGAAATTGCCTGCGTCTCGGGTTTCATCCCACCAACTATATTGTTAGTGGCAGGAATAGAAAGATAGAGTTGCAATGGTAGGACTAACGGTGTTGGCCCCTTATAGCCGCACTCCTCTCGCAAGAGCTGCTCATACACAAATACATAGAGACGGTGGAATGGCAGAAACTGCGCCTTTATTTATGCAGAGCTTAGTCAACAAGGCATGTCCTCTTATCGTAGCAACATAGTTAGGGAATACTCACTACAATATGGATTTCTTTCGTCTGCACCTGATGCATTGCATGCATATCGTCAAACCTTGTGACCGTACCATTTATACCTGTCTGAGCAGGTAGCTTCATAAGACAATTCACTGCCTTTAGGTAGGAGTGTTTATCAGTGTCTGCCATATTCGCCCACTCAACACGTGTCTGAATTGTCTCGGGTGTGCATGTGCTGTTGCAGGATGATATGGCGGGCACTGGTAGTGCCAGAGCCAGTATTACAAAGAGCATGGAGAACATGGCTGAAAGAGAGGTCAATCTTAACCAAGTAACAAGATAGTGATGAGAAGATCTCGTGATTTACTTCAGCCTACTCGTCAACTCATATAAGTTGTCTGAAATGAGTCACGTGAGAACCCATCTCTAAAATTCAAGCTTTAGTACTAAATTGTTCAAGTATGAATATGGAAATAATCTGCATAGTAAAGCATTTGCCCAGTCTTTATCTTTCGCACTATTGAAAGAGGCTTAACGCTTGCATGCTTTGATCACCTATTGCGCGTCGTCTACGCGTCTTTCTCCACATAGCAATGATATTGTCCAATGGGAATTGTATCCATCTACGAGTTTCAGGCGCCTAGATCCGCATCGCCATTGAGTAAAGGACCAGGGGTTATAAAACGATAGTACGTAGCTTGGCTACGGTTGCCAAGAAGCCTTCTCGGAGGTACTAGATACAAATTGGCCATGGCGCTACGGCTGTCCCCATGAAAGAGGCTCCACAAGACTGACGAGGAAGGTATACCCTTAAAAGATTGGAATAACCTGTATTAGCAAGGTACTTACCGTAGAATCAGCTTCCGACCCTGAGATTCTGCGGTGGACGGTTTTCAACATCTGTGAGGGCTTGTTACACGGGGTTGAGCTATACCTCTCTAGTACTCGATCCGGGTTAGGGCGAGGTAGCTGGTCAGCAGTAAGCCGTGCGATTGCCGAGTAATTCTGATGGAAAAGAGTTATGGACTAAAGTAACCAATAGTAACAACAATCAATTCGTATCTAGTAAGATAGAATAACAAAGTATCAATCTTGTTACTTGTAACAGGGCTGTGATCTCACGTCTGTTGCCGCCACGCATGTTGATACCTTCGATGAAAGTAATAATTAATCTAGGCTAGTGCAACAAGATTCACACACCTTGTCTAGTCAGCACTGTGTGATTTACTCAGATTGATCCAGAGCTTAGCCTGTGACTGTGCGGAGCTCAGATACACCAGCCGACCCCAGCCCAGCAACTGTGCGACCTGACTTTGGCCGAGCTTTGGTCAATAACAATATCTTGGCTATCTAGAACTGCCTACGCAAATGGTCACTTCATAAGAGTCTGTGCAGAGCGGGTCGACCGTCCCCCTGCTAGCATAATCAAGGCGTTTGTCTGCCTCGGGCCAGACTCGAGTAGCAAATATTGAACACGTAATTTTGCATGTGGATATCTTCTCAATCAATCTAGAGCATGCTTTGAGCTCGACCGTGGCAAACTAGCAAGCTACATGTTTATACTACTCCCTCACTCTCTATGCAATAGAGAGAATAATCAAGCATTTATTACATGGGTCTACGCTTGGTAGGGAAATACTTTGTAACGGGCTGAACGCCCTTGGGATAGCCCCTCGATGGAATCTCGAATTGTCCACAAGATCCGGGTGTTGTAGAGCACCCGGATTCTACTCACTACCGAGCGGCGCTCAAGTAACGCGCTTAGGCACTTCGCAAAATCTTTCTCTAAAAGTAAATAAATAACTAACGTAAAGCACCACCAAGCCAGACACACCACTAAGCTAGACACCTTTTCTTAGCATTGCGAACTCTATATACGAAAACTTAAATTACTATATTAACTAGTGAATACATCAATTAGTATGTAAGGAGTAGACTAGTATTTAGGTAGAGGTTAGGTAGAGGTAGAGTTGCTAAGAGTTAGGTAGGGGCAGAGGTAGGGTAGTGTAACGGGCTAAACGCCCTTTAGATAGCTCCTTGATAGAATCTCAGTTCAAGCTACGGTCGCGCTATCTAAGCTACGTTCAGATGTTAAGCGCAGAATCTAGGTATTACTCTAAGTACCTAGACTCTACTTACTACCTAAGTCGCGCTTAGATACTTTAGTATAACCTTTCTCTAATAAGTAAATAAATATTATATAAGTAGAGTAGATAGTTTCTAATTGAATATAACCTCTTATTGCGTGTCCTTATTACAACCATACTTCGTTGTATTGTTGTCTCATCGCAACCGTAGTTCGCTGTTCTGCTGCCTTCGTCGCAACCGTGTTATAGTTGTCGTACCTAATGGAGTTGTGCCTTATTGTTATATACCTATTAAGAAGTTCATAATTATTACTAAACTATTTCTAAGGGTTCGAAGCAGGGTCTCGCAGACGTAAGTCTCTTAGACCCTCACCCGATTTTTTACTTTAACTATAGTTATTTTTTTAATACCCGATTTCGGCAGGTTAGGGTGTGACCTGCTATTCTTTTCTGAGATAATCGATCTAATACGCTATATAGCAAATAGAGAAAAAAAAGTCAAGTTAGTTATAAAAAGAGATGAAGCTTATGATAAAAAAAGTACTAAGTTATATTACTATTAAAGATGTACTTATTATAAGTACTAAAGTTTAGTAGCTAATCTTAATAATATAACTAAGCTTAGTAAGTAAACTAGATATTTACTTAAGTACTCTAGTAATAAGTATAGTAGCTATCTCTAATAAATATATAGTTAGAGATAGTAGCTTACTAAATAACTACTAATTAATTAGTAATATATGTAAAAGGCATAGTTAAGCTAAAGAGTATAAACCTACTTTAATATTTAAGTTATAGTAGCTATACTAAGTATTTGTACTAAAGAACTAAGTAATAGTTAGAGCCTTATTATAGAAATAAAAACTAGTTAGAGCTAAGTACGCCTCTTTATTGTGAGACGTTTTAGGGTTATTAGGCACGGGTTGTCACGGCGCTATCTGACATAGCAGCGGACCGGCAGCTTCCAGGTGCCCAGCGAGGCTGGAATCCCCCGGGTGGCCGTTAGGGCCACAGTGCCAGCGAGGCAGCTGGGGCGCATCCTCCTGATTGGCTGCCGGCAGATACCGGGTGCGGGCCCGAGCACCCAGATTCTATAAAACGCAACACTGTAGTCTAGAGAGCTCTTCGAGCTACGTCCTGTCTTCTACTCTGTACTACCTGTAGTGAGAGCCTGTTAATTAGCTGTAGCAATAGAACCTGTACACGTGCCTGCCTCCTCTGTCCGTGAACCTGCACCGTGACACGGGTAGAGTAAAACAATAGCAGTCTTGAGTAAACAGTCTGTATTTCACGTAGACGAACAGCTACCGAGCTTAGGTAGTATTCTCCGTGCTTATATCTACTTTGATAAGTCAGATATGACTAAGGTAGGCTAACAAGG